TATTGTGCGAGAAGCACAACTTCTATACCGAGTGTTTCTTCTGATCTCCACCATTCAGAATCTAGACAACATTAGGAAGAACAACATATCCAAATTATAGCTGATCCGACGGTGGCTGGAGGAGAAAACAGTTGGCGACAAAGACTATTCAGAAGTGTATTTTCCTAGAACTTTTCCTCCTGTGATATCTCTCAAATGGGGACTACTATAGAAGATCCCTCCGGTGAAATATCTAAATATCGTTATGATCCAACAGTGAAAGGTGAAGTTATAGCTGTCAGATTTTATGCAATCAATATGTCTTCTCTCCAACCCCTCTCTAAACTCTCTTTTGCTTTTGCCAGTCACTCTAAGAGAAAAATATAATGATATTTATAGTGTTATCATTTTGTTAATTGCACATTTATCCCCACCCTTTTTTATCTTTTGTACATAAACTCCTAACCTTCTGTTGTTTGAATATTGAACTTTCTTGGTCTTATGTATTCATTTTGTCCCCGCAAATATTTTTTTTTTCAACAATTTAGTACTATATTCACTTTCATTTCATTTATTTCACTATTTTTATCTTGATTTAGGTTTCTTTAATTTAATTTAACCCATTTTACTATTGGTTAAATTTCTCATAATTTAATAACCCAAAAAAATTATAATTGGGAGTTTACACTCTAGTTGTTGGAATCTAGATAGAGCAAGCAATGCATTTGTTTGTCATAATAATTGACGCATCGCTTGCTATTTGTTTTTCTAGAAAAACATAGGGGTGGATGACCATAAAAAAAAAAAAATAAACATGCCCAGGCCTACACCTTTGGGTCTTTTTTCAGAGGCCCAGACGTACTGGGCCAACCAGGCCCTCATATGCCGGCCTTTTTTATTGGTTTTGTTTTCACTTTGATCCTTGACAATTGGATCTTTATTGATTTTTTTGAATTTTTTTTTGAATTTCATTCTTTAATAATTTGCTGATTTTTAATTGGACAACATAATTTATTTGAGTTTGATATTTGTTGGTTTACCGTGATCTAACAAAAAGCCCCGATATTTAGTTGGTTCTTAATTTTACGAGCGTTTATTTTTGTTATTATATAATTATATTAAAAAAATTGTTAAGCTAATTAAGCTCAGGTTATAGATTTGTCTAGTTAATTTTAATTGATTTGAAATCGAGTTTCATAATTTATTTCGAGTTATTTTTTATAGAGCTATCAAAATCTCAAGCAAATCACTTGTCATAGAGTTACTACTCGTTTTTTCAAGCAAATGTTTTTTTATGATTAAATAAAAAATAGTGTAAAAAATAATAAAATTGATAGAGTTCATAACCTAGGTCATGAGCTTAATAGATTAAGCCGTATCGATCCAATAAGTCATTGTTTTAATAGTTTTTTTTTTAAATTATGTCACCTCAAGATTTATATTAAAACTCAAACTATATTTATACCACTCATCCGACATGCTTTTAAACTTGCTAAGTCGATTGTATCATGTTTAGATAACTTTAAAATTGTTTGATTTAAAATGTGGGCTAAATAAGTAAATCAATTGCGAGTAATCCATTAACCATTAAAAAGCTTTCTTGTAACCTAAACATTTTTTTTTAATGTAACCCACGCAATCCATGTTGATAGTACAGAAAGGAGAACCCAGTTCTGCCTCAAAGACAATCAAAATTGCTCATCAATTAATTAGTCATATTGCCTTATAGAGTCAGTGATGACCCAGTCTCTGTTAGTGACCCATAACTGGAGTTCTACAGCTTCAAATTGAGCAAGACCAACTTTCTTAGTTAGCTAATATCCAAGACTATAATTACTATAAAGAAACTTGATTCTAATTCCCTCATCCTCCTACTTGAATTCTTTTTAAAAGTTAGGAGATGAATCTCTCCAGATTCATCAACCTTTCCATTTACACACAACATTCACAATTTAACTTTTTCTCTTCTATCTCAACCCCTAACCATATCATATATTGTTTAAGAGTGTTAAAAATATCTTTTTAGGAGTCAATTTATCTTATTTATTTCAATCTTCCACCTGTATAATTGACCAAAAGCATGGCCTTAAGGAACCAAGAGTTCCTTCACTATTTTCATGCTATTTTCATTAAATTCACACAAAACCAATTTTGACAACAGTTTCAATCAACCATAAATAACAAACAAATAATATTCCAAACAATCTATATGGTCAAGCTATAATGCATTATTATGAGTATAACATATCCAAATATCAACTTTATCAAATGGTGAAATTTCTAGAAATATGGGTTTAACCGAATTGACCTCAAACTTGCAATCTTATTGTGCGAGAAGCACAACTTCTATACCGAGTGTTTCTTCTAATCTCCACCATTCAGAATCTAGACAACATTAGGAAAAACAACATGTCCAAATTATAGCTCGATCCGACGGTGGCTGAAGGAGAAAACAGTTAGCAACAAAGACTGTTCAGAAGTGTATTTTCCTAGAACTTTTCCTCCTGTGATATCTCTCAAACGGGGACTACTATAGAAGATCCCTTCGGTGAAATATATAAATATCATTCTGAACCAACAGTGAAAGGTGAAGTTATAGTTATCAGATTTTATGCAATCAATATGTCTTCTCTCCAACCCCTCTTTAAACTCTCTTTTGCTTTTGCCAATCACTCTAGGATAAAAATATAATGATATTTATAGTGTTATCATTTTGTTAATTGCACATTTATCCCCACCCTTTTTTATCTTTTTTACATAAACTCCTAACTTTCTGTTGTTTGAATATTGACCTTTCTTGGTTTTATGTATTCATTTTGTCCCCGCAAATATTTTTTTTTTCAACAATTTAGTACTATATTCACTTTCATTTCATTTATTTCACTATTTTTATCTTGATTTAGGTTTCTTTAATTTAATTTAACCCATTTTACTATTGGTTAAATTTCTCATAATTTAATAACCCAAAAAAATTATAATTGGGAGTTTACACTCTAGTTGTTGGAATCTAGATAGAGCAAGCAATGCATTTGTTTGTCATAATAATTGACGCATCGCTTGCTATTTGTTTTTCTAGAAAAACACAGGGGTAGATGACCATAAAAAAAAAAAATTAAACATGCCCAGGCCTACACCTTTAGGTCTTTTTTCAGAGGCCCGGACGTACTGGGTCAACCAAGCCCTCATATGCCGGCCTTTTTATTGGTTTTTTTTTCACTTTGATCCTTGACAATTGGATCTTTATTTATTTTTTTGAATTAATTTTTTTTTTAATTTCATTCTTTAATAACTTGTTGATTTTTAATTGGGCAACATAATTTATTTGAGTTTGATATTTGTTGGTTTGTCGTGATCTAACAAAAAGCCCCGATATTTAGTTGGTTCTTAATTTTACGAGCGTTTTGTTTTTGTTATTATATAATTATATTAAAAAAATTGTTAAGCCTGATTAAGCTCAGGTTACAAATTTGTCTATTTAATTTTAATTGATTTGAAATCAAGTTTCATAATTTATTTCGAATTATTTTTTATAGAGCTATCAAAATCTCAAGCAAATCTCTTGTCATAGAGTTACTACTCATTTTTACAAGCAAATGTTTTTTTATGATTAAATAAAAAATAGTGTAAAAAATAATAAAATTGATAGAGTTCATAACCTAGGTCACGAGCTTAATAAATTAAGTCGTGAAACTCGTATCGATCCAATAAGTCATTGTTTTAATAGTTTTAAAAACAATTATGTCACCTCAAGATTTATATTAAAACTCAAACTATATTTATATCACTCATCCGACTCATCCGACATGCTTTTAAACTTATTAAGTCGACTATATCATATTTAAATAACCTTAAAATTATTTGATTTAAAATGCAGGCTAGAGAAGCAAATCAATTGTGAGGTTTCGGGATTAACCCATTAACCACTAAAAAGCTTTCTTGTAAGCTAAACATTTTTTTTAAATGTAACCCACGCAATCCATGTTGATAGTGAAAATCTAAATGGGATATTGTTGATTAAACAACTGGTGTGATGTAAAGGAATTAATCTCAAATAATGAACAACTAAAAATATTCAATTTATTATCCCGTTTTATTGAATAAGTAAATCATTGACTGAAGAATATTATTGCAATTTAATTTAAAAAATAATTATTTATTGGACTGTAGAAAACTTGGAATTTCGTGTTTTAATAAGTTTTTTTGCAAAGATTTTTATTTCGCCATCATGAAGGAACTAAACGATATTGTCTTGGCCAACCGTCCTCACTTTTTAAGTGGCAAGTACTTAAACTACAACAACACCACAATGGGCAAAGTCGAATACGGCGACCATTGGCGCAACCTTCGCCGCATAAGCGCTCTTGAAATCTTCTCCTCTGCACGCCTCACTTCCTTATTTAGCATCCGAAGAGAGGAAGTCATGGCCTTACTGCGTAGACTTCACAGTGTTTCAAGGGATGGTAACTATGCTAAGGTGGAGTTACGGTCCATGCTCTTGGACCTAACGTGTAATATTATGATGAGAATGGTTGCAGGGAAGAGGTATTATGGAGAAGACGTTAAGGAAATTGAAGAGGCTAGGATTTTTAAGGAGATCATGGAAGAGTTTGCCGAATGTATTGCCATGACAAATGTGGGGGGTCTGATTCCAATGTTGCAGTGGGTTGATTTTACTGGCCACTTGAAGAAGTTTGATATACTAAGTAAGAAGATGGATGTGTTCTTACAGGGACTGGTTGATGAGCATCGAGATGACAGGGACAGAAACACTATGATAAACCGGTTTCTCGCTTTGCAAGAAGAACAGCCTGAATACTACACTGATGACATAATCAAAGGCCATGTTCTGGTTAGTCAAA